CCGCAGATTTGCGCGATGTAGTACGGAGGTGAAAATCACACTCTTTAAGGCGTACTGCCAGACGTTCTACACGTGCAATCTGTGGGTTAGTTACACGCAACGGGCTGTCAGCGCCCTCCGCGTCCAATATAATAATAGCCTTAGGATGCTGCTGGGACTCCCCCGACACTGCAGTGCGTCAGAGATGTTTGATCGTTTTAATTTTAGTTTCTCCTTTTTCTTTATATGTGTGTGTGTAATGTAATATAATATGTATTGTACTTGTAAATATCATATGTGTAATATTCTGTTACACGAGTTAAATAAATTATTATTTATCTCCATATCTTTATTCTCTTATTTTTATATATAATACATTTCACATTATTTTCTTAAAAAAATAACAAAATAAAACATATTATATAAAAAAATAGTAAGTCCACCGGCTGCGGAATCCGATGACTCAAGCAAAAAATTATTATTATTATTATTAGCTGTTGCAGTTATGACTAACAAGCCCGGTGCAATACCACAACCAAACAGAAGATAGTCATTAAATAGAAGTCATTCCGTTTATCGTCTAGTCTGTGCGTTCCGGCGGCCTAATTTTAATCCCCTTGCCTTTTCTAACCTTTTAATACAATAATTAGCAGGGAAAGTGGATTTGGCAGGGGACTTGACGCATAGTTAAGGGAAATATACTGTTTGCATGCGTCCTCTCCTCTCGTTAAAGATAGGAAAAGCATCTGCGAGTGCAAATGTCTCTGAGCAGCGTTCGCTTCTCTGTTTTGGCGAATTCCGGTGGTTGCTTGCCCGTTTGTGACCTTGATTGTCCTCAGAATGGATATTTTGGGTTGAGCTCCCCTTGTCTTAAATTTTGAGATATCTTGGTAAAAATTACAAAGGTATCTCAGCTATATAATCTGATTATATTCAGAAAAGACCTCATTAAAAAAATTGGTAACATGTTGCGTACTTAATGTTTTGCTAATATAAAACAACAGGCATTACTTAGTACTTATTTTGAAATGGGAAATTTATAATTCGCGAAATCTTATAAGCTAGCTAATTATATTTTTAAATTATAAATGGATTATCACTAATTTTTTTTTATTTTTTTAATGCTTATTAGCTCCGTGCTTTGCTACTGTTTCTAAACTTTTATTATTGTTGCCAGTTATTAATTAATTGGATATACTGTTTTTCGGTACAAAATAGATTTGGATTACAAATATAATTGAATGAAAACTCTAGAAAACTCAAAAAACGGCACACAAATTATGATTTATCCATTCTCTTATTGTTTTGCTGATATGGTTTTGTTTAGATTTTTTCTATGGCAAATCAATGTTGACGTTTGTCTTGTGACAGCAATACAGCTGATATCATTACGCTCTTTTTTTGAATGAGAATTCATTCGTAAACACTGTGTACCACGCACCGTCTTGTTGAATATTTTAATTGTTTCGTTTTATTTAATTAAAACAATAAAACGTTGCTAGTGTCGATAGAAAAATGTTAGTTTAATTGCGTAAATATTTGTAAAAAAGAGGATAAAGTGGTGCAATTATAAGGATTTATTGTGACAAAGACTTCAAACCAATGTTAGTTTTAATTGTTTGTGGACTATAAACATTGTGACAATAGTTGACGATAATAAATTAGAGCGTAAGTAATATGCATAATATTGTTACTATATTTGTGTATTTAGAGCAACCAATTTATATTTAATGTCTGTTTTATTTTTACTTTTAAAGAATACTCATAACATTATTTATAAATTTATATTTTGTTTAACGACTTTTCTCATGTATATTTATGCAATTATAGGCTCAATTAATTTGATATGTTTAGTTTGTTTGTTACAGACAGAAGTCTTTCTATACTAGAATTGCCATAGACTTTAATTATTAAAGTAGAAATAAAATATCTAAACCCTCCTTCATTAATCATGAATAACCATAGCCAACATACATGTAGAAAGTAATGGTAGAGT